AAAAAAAAAAAAAAGGAAATCATAAAAACTTAATAGCTGAAGAATATTGAAAATAGCAGAGTTGAAAGAAGTTCGGTACGTATATTTAAGTTCGTACAAAATAAGCGTTGATGTATTCAGATGTTAGTTAGGTAAAACTAAAGATAGTAGCCAAGGGTCTGACATAATTACCCTAGCGGGAAGTATGATCAATAAAACAGGAGAATGTACAATACTGCAGTAGCTATAGAGCCTCGAAATACTATGAAACTGTCTACTTTTCAGAATTTACTGTAATTATCATGCATTAGTAAGGTAAAATGATAAGAAATCAAAATGATGTCTTTTCTCTAAAAATAGTGTATATAGAGTGGACAGAAATCCACAAATCTAATAAATTTTTTTGTACAACTCATATATTACTCCAGAAAATAAGTTGAGATTGAAATATTAAAATATTTTTACCTGAAGTCATCACTGTTTACAAGTGTTTCTGGAATAGCTTAATTAACAGTATGACCTCCGACCAGCTAGTAAGCAGCTTCGATTTAGTATACCCTTACAAATACGTTTTAAGAGAAAAAAAACCGTTTATCTACATCTGAGACCTGTTTTCTAAGATTTAAGTAAATTCTTGTCTCCTACAGTCTTGCTAATACATAATACGCACAAGATATACGAACGACAATTGTATTTATCTATTGAATTTGTATTTATAGAATGAGCGCGCGGTGGCTCGGTCGGCTGGTTTGTGGGACGGCACGCGGGAGACTGAGGGTTCGTTTCTCGAGTAAGTACCTCTATGAATTTTCACATGTGCTTTTTCACAACACAATGCTCCTCGTGAAGGGATGGGCGATCTTCTCGCAGCAAAATGGGCCTGCCGCATAGATCCTTCACTCTGTCGGTGGTTTATGTGACATCATCACTGCACCAACGAACTACAACTGTATCCAATAATGTAAAAATGTGACCAATAATGTAAAATGTAACCATTACTTGTAATATGTAACAAATATAACGTAACAATGTGACTGACTGTACCAAGGCTTTATGTACTCGTTTGCAATAAGGCCTAAAAAATTAATACACTAAGTTAGTAGGTATTTATTAAAAAACAAACAAAACAAAAAAAATTGTATTCATAGTTTAAACAATATAATAAAATCCTGAAGTAGTAAACAAACATTTTTATAAGATAAACGTTTCAACATTAAAATTTTTTTACGCAAAATAAGGTCATGACAGCATGTAATATCCTTACGGATAGAAACACCTGTTTGACATAACTATTTTATAGTATGGATCAATTAAGGGTAAACAAATAAAGTTTTAGATTTAGGTATTTAACTTACTAGATCTATATCTTTCTTTTAATATCTTGATGAAGTTGCAGAATTCTAGAACGGTCACCGAAATTCTGGACTGCATTTGCCATCCTCCTGAAGACTTTTTAAAATATTTCAACAATGTGACTTTTATTCATCACATTGGTGCTCTCTACTTTAACCTACTTTTTAGTTATTTGCTTACCATATACCATATACTTTGAACAGATTTAGCTTCAAAGGGTTCAGGATAAATTACTACAGATTCTTTGCTGTAAATATGGAGTGATGAACTACTTTAGTTGTAAGTATGATGTGCTGTATAAGAAATTTAATACTCATAATCTAGACACAATCTGCTTTTCTCTAAATCTTAACTTCCTACAGTCTCTTTTAGTAATCAGAGATTGATTTACTAATCAAGAAAAGAAATATTTTCTATCTCCTAAGAAATACTTGATAAATAGCCCGGGTCTAAAATAATACATTTTTCAATGGTTTTCTATGATACTAAATTTTTTTTGCTCATTTGCTATATTTTATACTCATCTTCGCAAAACCATTTACATTAGAGATTTCAAGACAAGTCCAAAGCATTACCAATCTCATTTTAAATATGTTTTAGAAAACTTTTTCTTTATTTTCATTTGTGTTCCACTTTTGTTTTTGTTTTTATTATTAGATATTTCTCAATTTTTTTTTTTTAATTAAATTTACTTCCAAAGCTCAAAAATGCAGCATATCATTTTTTCATTTTGGAAACCTATCCTAACCTACAACAAAAATATAGGACGTATTCATTTTTTAGGAAGGTAACAAAATGAGTAACCTTAAAATTTCTGCTAATCTAAAAATACAACAGTTCAAATATTATAATAGTTCTTTGATGTACTAGAAAGCAGTTTTAATTTACCTGAGTACCTATGGACCAATAAAACCAACCAACATAACTCGGATGTCTGCAAATATTGTATATTCCATGAGTAACCAAACTATGATTATTAGATTTTGTATTTTGAACTATGTGATTAAAATTATGTTGAGCAGTATAAATGGCAGTCTTTCTGATTATTTCTCCAGTGGCACACATAATAATACCGACTAAGGAAATCCAAAGGTTTTGTTTAATGATTGGAAAATAATATCTTTCGAAGAAGTATTCAATCCAACTTGCCAAGGCTGCTACAGTATAGGCAAAACTGTGATTGATAATGTAAGTATCCGAAGATGATGCTACTGGATTGGTGGATGCAACTGACAAAAATTCTGTAAAATGAAATGTTGATAATACTGATGCATAGACACCAAAAATTTTCCACGTTGGTTCAGAAGCTAAATCAATTGATAGTCCTAAGCAAATCACGAATCCTAAGAAGAATGCTCTGGCAGAAATCTAGAAATAAAAATTTTTGTATCGATAAATAACTTATAATATGCAAAGCGTACATTTTCATTTTATAATTTAGTAAACAAGATAAAAAAAGTACTAAAATAAAATGATGCGTGGTATTCTTCTCAGCACTGTAATATTCGTACTTTGAATATACACAAAGCTAGAGATCACTTCAAAATTTATTTCAATAGTGAATACTTAAAAGATTTAGAAATTCTTTGTTAAAATTGTGTTGTATGCTTATTTCTAAATAACTTAGCCAAACATTATTCAGATAAGCTTATTTATAAGTGTTGGATCATATCTTTCCAAAAATTTTCGTAGCTATTCTTTCGCAAAACTATTTTACAAAATAAAGATATAAAGCATTATAGTTAATGAATTCGTTAAAAGATAAAAAATGTTTGAATTGATAGGAGGTGAAATCAGCATAAAAATTATAGTGTTCCTTATTTAATTAGGTGTGGATTAGTCAAATCTTTAACTTTGTAAGCATTTTCTTAAAAAACCTTACTGATAAGAGAAAAAAAAAGTATTTAAGAATGCAGTACTCACACAAACGTAGGACAGCTATTTCAGTATTAATATTTTAAGAACCAAGTAATGGCTTGCACAAAAAAAAATGGTGCAAAAATGCTTGATAAGAACCTTTTCTTAACTTTGATGATTACAAAATAAAAAATAAAATAAAAAATAAAAAAACGCAAGCACTGGATAACAGGGTGGACAAAATTACTTTTTTTGAAATAACAATGTGACTTGATTTCGAATCTTTGCTAATTTGTATTACTATGATCTTGAAATACTTGTAAAGCAACAATCATAAAGGTATTACTAGTCACAGTGCATAAATTGTAAATCATGTTGTGCGATAAAAGTATGAAAAAAAGTGAGCCCCAAAATTAAAAAAATCTGTTAGAGATGTTACTACATACTTTATAAGCGTAAGGCATCATTACTCACTCCACCACAACTAGCTCATAATAATTTCAAAACTTGTTTTGAAATAAAATTTGGCTGGTCTAACAATAATTTTTTTTAAATAATTTTTTTACTTACGATTCCATCTACGAAAAATATATCGATAAAATCTTGTACAACGTTTTGTTTAAAGAGATATACTACATTGTAGATTAAAGAAAGTATTTCACACTAGTAGGGGTACCAGAGGTTTCAACTACCATGGTCTTTTTCATTATTACAAAATTGGTCTTAAAATTACTAGAAATATATAAACAATGACAATACAATGACGCAAAATTCACCACAAAAGTTATGCAACAACTGTTTAGGGAATCAGAGAAAAAAAGATACCCAGTTCTCATCACAACAATAGTCCATATTCTAATGCAACAGGTTTATTGCTAGCTGCAGCCCACGTCAATTTACTTTGTCCTACTGGCATGTGTATAATAGTCAAGGCACCCATAGATCAATGCTCTCAGTATTTAACTATTTGTAATTCTATTTGTAATTTACAGATCAGGTGATTCCGTTGTTGGAGTAGCAAAGCGTGTTAGCTTTACAGTGCAACTACAATTTCCTTCACAGTTGACAGTTGAGGCTAAGATTTTACCTCACATATCATTATATAAACCTTTATTTAAATGATTAAATTCAAAATTCAGGGTTGACAGTTTTTAAAAGCCTAAAATCAGTCGATTCTCTTTACATGAATTGTAACTAATTAGATCTGATCATAAAAATACCCGTATTGTTGAAGGGTCAATAAAGAGGGGCAAGGTTTGTCAGCCTATCACAACATAATATAAATATCGCCTATCATGTTAGATACAATCATGCTCTATAGTACTGGCGAGTTAGTTTATTCGTTAAAAAAAATCCTCTACTTTTTTGATGCAATAATTATAAGAAAAGTAACAGAACTAGCAGAATGTATTTTTTAAAAGTACATTTTTACGGAACCAATGTGAAAAAATGTCAAAAAGGTACATAAAACAGTTTTTTTTACGATTTGTGATGCGAAAAAAATTTCTTGCCAAAAGAAATATAGTCTAAAATAGTGCTTAAGAAGATAAAGGAAATAAGTTTTTTTCAGTTCAAACCAGTTCACAGTTTTTTGCACAAAAAATGAGGAAATTTTATTACGTTGGACACTGAGACGATCTAGCTAAGGGAAAAAGACGAATGGTGGGGGAAGCCTATCTACTGCGTTGACTAAAAATTGGGCGGGCTAGTGCTTAAAAGTAAATGCGCTGATTGCACATACATAATATTTTGAAAGTTAGTAAAACCAATAATTTAACAGCAACTTCAGACAGTGACGCAAGAATACTAGTAAACAATTCAAAGGTTCTGGAAATCCAAAACGATTTCATCTCAATATGCGATATTGTATCTATAAAGTTTCCACACGAGGACGAAAATTGAACGTGATCGAGCATTCAGTGTATTGGGATGTACACTAGCTGTTAATATTTTGCAAGGTACCCTACTTTAAAAAAAATATTAAAATTGGTCCCTTATTTTCTAAGTTATAATAATTTTTGTGGGAGTTATAGGTTACATGGACGATCATCTGGTTTCACTACACTATATGGGTGATGAATAACTGATGCCATTCTTACAAAACTTCTAGGAAGTTGAGAAACCACCGCTGCTCTTTAGAGATTTGCGTTCTGATGATTAACTCTGTGAGAAGTATTTCGTTTCTATTCACACCAGAAATGAGCTTGATCACTATATAGTGAGATTTTCTTTTAAGTCAAACGCATTTCCTCTGACTAAAGCTCGAACTGACTCTAAGTTTTTGTCAATTTTGGCAATAAAATCTTTTAAGCGTGGATTTTAAAACATCCATAATCGGACAAAGCTTATAAGTCCTTTATGTCAGAACATTTTGAATTGCTACTAATAAAACCTATAGTCACCTCACAGTCTTTAATGGCTCTGCTAAAATTTAAGGAGGCTGCTCCTTACACTAGTAACTTCATGTACATCAAAATACCAGACTTATTCAATTGAATAACTCTTTAGCGAAGTTATCGTTTCACATTTTCCGCATACGTAGAGAAAATGTTCAGTCAAGTTTGGATTGATAAACGAGATTAGAAGTTTCAATGTTTACTCTGGCGTTCAAGGAATTCTGACCCTCTTGTAATGTATTAATTGAGAACAGTAATATACGACTTAGCATGCTCTCCTTACCTGATCTCCAGAGTTATAAAACAGTTAACTTACGGTTATGAAGTCGATTGTCCTTTAGTAGTAGAAGTAATGGAAAACGAGGTTTATAAGGACCATGAATTATCTGGTGCACATTGCACCACTGCAGTTAAGAAAAAAATAAGTCAGTTTTAAGGCGTAATGAAAGTGGGAAGGTTTTCTTTACATAAAATAGGTTTGAAATAAAGTTTGGGTTTTGAAAAAAATTTTAATCTTATAAAGTCAGTTTGGACTAAAAAATCAGTTTTTTCTCACGTAGCACATTTGTACGATCCCTTAGTCGCTGGGTCCCGTAATTGTTGACGCCAAAATAACGATACAATCGTTATGGCTAATGAAGTTGAACTGAGAATAGAAATCACCCAAGTATACTATCAGTGTTTGGTTTAATTGATTTAATAATCTTTACCTTATCAAATAAGAATTCATCCTATTAATCTTCATGGGTTTATGGATGCTTATAAAAGGGTCTATGCGGCAGTGATTTACACTCGCATCGTTCAAAGCGATGAAGGATTCGTCATCCTACAAACGTCAAGGACAAGAAATGCCCCTATTAGGACATTAAGTATTCCTCGCTTAGAGTTGTGTGCAGCGAAGCTATTAGCCAGACTCGTTCATCACTATACTCAATTATTATGTCAAGGATAAATATGATTTATCTGTGATCTGACTTACACACCGTCTTACACTGCCGTCAGATCCACGAATTAGTCCCAACTGTCATTTCACATCATATCTCACGAAAACAGAGACCTGTCAATGCCGCGCCGCTTCTCTAGGATTACTTCCCTCTCAGTTTTTGAAACTAGATAACTGGTGGAGGAACCCTGATACCTCACACTAGTTAATGCCTACGTACTCTAAATTTTAACTCAAAGACGACTTTATTAATGACAGTAGATCAAGTGACATTGTAGTGACTAATCACTTAAGTTCACTGAATATTTGTTGGGAAGTGTATTGGAAATATTTTAGTTTAGAGAAACTATTGAGGGTAATCACTTATTATCTTAGATTCATCTTCAAGATTCGTTTTAAGGTTGCTAAAAAGGTTGAGTTAATATGTGATGAGAGTGATGTAGAATTGTTCTTTTTAAGTTGAATTGCAATTAAAAAAAGAGCCATTTATCTCTTTTTATAGCTAAAGTAAGGAACTCGATGTATCTTTCCTTGTTGTTATACATTAGTTCCAGTATTTTAAGGTAAAATGAATTGCTTGTAAAAAACTCGACGATTTAACTTCTCTTAAGTTACCTTCTAATAGTCAGTTGATTAAACAAAAACCCTTTATGTGAGATAGACATATCAGAGTAGAAGGTCGACTAAGTCATGCAATTTTGGGCTATAACACTAAACATGCTCTAATGTTAGGAATTCCGAATTATCACTTCACAAATTTAATTGTTGGGAGTGATCAGTTTTTTTTCAGGTTACCGCAACAGCCTATTAGCCTAGTCTCCAGGGCCGCCCACCTATGTAGGTGTGTATTGCCGCACCCATTTACCAATCCTCAAACTGATATTATACCTATTATACCATAGGCACAGTGGAAGTCTCTTCATTGAAACACCTAGCCAGTACAGCTGACACTCTCTACACCAATGGTGCATCGGGTCCACTCGCCATTGTGTAGCCTTTCCCCGAAGAAGACTTCGTATTTCAGGACGTCTACTCCTCGCCGGTTAAGCCGGCGCTCTCTGCCGAAGCATCGGATCCAGGCTAATTAGCATCCCTGGAGAAGCCCCATGTTTCAGGAACCACTCCTCACCGGTAAGGTCAGCGATTCCTGCTTCGCATCTGATCCGCTAATC